TGAAACTGTTGTCCCACGAATCTGCAATCCAAGGCGCACATTACCAAGGTAAAGTTTTTCGTTGCCGTTTCTCGCCCTCGGGATGGCTAGGACGGCAAAATTGGCTGCTGGAAGTTGGTAGAGCGTTCAACAGCCGCTCGCACAGGTCGTAATCGACCAGCGGGCACCGAGATTTTGAAGAGTGTTACGGTGACAAAGGATGTCTATCGACGAGACCTGGTTGACAATGTTTTACCGGCCATCAAGACGAAGTGGAAATGGCTGTCACCTGGATATTCTGGCGGCATTGTCATATAGCAAGACGATACTCACCCGGACATTTGGCATAACGATGTGGAGTTTGCAGCTGCCGCCCAACAAGGTGGTTGAAGTATTCGGATTGCGTGCCAACCACCCAAGTCGCCAGATCACAATGTTCTAGATCTTGGTTTTTTCAACTCAATTCAATCACTGCAACAAACAATGGAGTGCCGCAGCATGGAAGACCTGGTTGCTGAGGTGAAGACTGCATATTTGTTGCTGTCTTCGGAGACGTAAAAGAAGACGCTTATGACCCTGCGCCGGATAATGCTGGTTGTTATCGAATTCAAAGGTTGAAATCGGTACAAGATCCCCCGAAGTGCTCGAACGGATGAAGTTGAATTGGCCTTGTCATTAATGAATGTTAGTATATAGGAAGATGACAGACTAGAAGATGTAGCAAATCTCTTAATGAAATTGACAGTGTGAGAATCAATTGGTGGCCTCTTTTAATATATTTAGATTCAATATACTAATGTATTTGTATACTGCCGGATGTTCGCTTGCAATATTTGCAAAACAGAGGTAGTACATCCCAATTAAACATTTATTAACAAAACGGCGCGATGATTTCCGGCGGAAATGCGAATCACATCTGTACACTGACTTATTAGTAGTACAGTGCGAAGCAAAAGGTTATAACCACCATGTTTTCCTTAAATCTCTTTGCACTCTGGGCGAATTAAATTCATCCGAAAACATGCCTGGATGTGTATTCATAAAATACACAGTTCTTGCTTTGAATCGTGTCAAATCTCGAAATATTGATTGAGAGATGAAAAGAATTATGTTTCAGCACCGATACAAAAGATATAACCACCTGTTGACAAGCACGGACAAGACACGAAATCAACTCAAATCATGCCATGTTTTCACAAATTTTAGCCTTCTAGTACTTTGTCGTCATTCCTTTGGCGGTAACTACCCCTAGGCTTCTCGTTTTCATGCTAGAAACGAGTTTTTGGAGGTAGGTGACGTCCAGCGAGTTCCAGTGCAGCAGAATCGCCGATGTGAGCTTCTCCTTTGAGCTGTATTGCTTGCCACCGCCATACATGCGTTGAACCAGGTATCCCCAGGATTTTAAATCGATTCAAGTCTGGAGATAGGACAGGCCAGT